TCTAGAGGAGTTCTGGGCTCTCTACCGTAGACGACTCCGTAGAGTGGTATCTCCGTTGTTGAATGAGATGTGGTTCTGTAGTTGAATAGGATTTCCGATAGGCTTTCTTCCCAATCACTGCGATAGTTATTGAGCCATTCCTTCACTATTCTATTGAACCTTTCAGTCATTCAGTTGGCCTGTGGATGATAGGGGGACGTTCTTGTTCGTTTGATGCCCCAGTGCTCTAAGGTCTCCCGAAAAAACTTGGATTCGAAACACGGTCCCTGGTCGGTAGTGGCATTTCCGAGCAACCGTTTCTCCTGTTTGATCTGAGGTTGGTACCGCTTCCACCCAACGAGACACGAATTCGACCATCACAATGTACTTTTTCCCGCTTGGACTAATAGGTAGGGGCCCAAACACATCCAGTCCCCAGGTTTGGAGTACTCTCCGTGTGTCTATTGGTTGCATTGGCGGTGTTAATAGTGTCGCGTATTTATTATGTTGGCACTCGGGACAAGAACGGATGTATTCAATTACATCCCGACGCATTGTTGGCCAGGACACACGACGTCATAATGAATCGAGAACTCGTTGCCGTCCCATGTGTGCTCCATCGTGTGCAAGCTTCAACACCCTTTCGCGAAGACCGGCTGGGATGAATGACAGTCGCCCAGGTCTCAGTCCGTGTTTCATATCCACTGCAACCATCAAGCTCCCAATGTTCGAATGCAAGCGATCCCAGATCTTCAATAATTCTCCTATTTCTGGTGACATATCTTCCGGCTTCGTTTTTGACCGCAGATGTGCACAGATGGTTCGCACTAGACCGTCTTCTTTCTGATATTTATTAATTTCCACATCGCTCGAAGTCAGCCGGGAAACTGGGATGGCCTCCGATGGAACACCTTCATCGTCGATCAGGCGCGATAGGAAGTCAGGAATTCCGTTATCTTTGCCATCGACATGTTCAATGGTAAACGTAAATTCCTGAGGACGATACGCCCGTCGCGCCAGTCTTCCTCTCGGGTCGCGCACCGTCAACAGCCACATCCGGGGCTTGTGGTTTGTTTTGATATGAAAGGTATTTTGTTAGAAATATGTCGTCAACAAACGTGAACATAATTTGTCACAGCGAAATAGGAAGTTTTCGTCAATCCTATTTCTGTGCACCTTCAGCAAGGAGAGACCGAATACGGTGCACCAACTGTGCTGGGGTTTGATAATTAAGGTCAAAAGTAGTGCACAGCGCCCGTAGCATCTTATTCGTCAACTTGCCGGCTTGCAGGATGACAGGCTTCTGATGCGATATTGACAGAAACGTCAAAAGGAAGCAGTCGGATGACACAATAGTACAGGATATTTGTATTGGAAACCCTAGACGCAATGCAAGAAAAACATCGCCAAAAAATTGAAATTACGCTCACGACAATGGTCCGGGAGATCCACTAGACTTTGAGCATAATCTTCATCGGTGATCCTATCTAGGCAGCTATATCTCACCCGGCGGACGCATCACAGATGAAGTGTCGGCGCGCATACAAAAGGCTCGATTGGCATTTGCCAACTTGAGACATCTGTGGCGCCGTCGCGACATCCGGCTGTCTGTGAAGAGTCGAGTGTATGCTGCAGCAGTTCGGCCAGTCCTGCTCTACAGTGCAGAGACTTGGCCACTGAGGGAACAGGATAAAAATAGATTGTCGGTGTTCGAACACCGCTGTCTACGTAGCATTGCACGTGTCTGGTGGGGTAACCGGATGAGCAATGCTGAGGTTAGGCGTAGAGTTTTAGGCAGTCGCGGTCAAGTGATCGACCTCCATAGATTACGCTGACTGGGACGTGCTACGCATGTCACCAGATAGGTTGCCACGGCGAGCGATGTTTGCCAAGGCTGGTAGCGATTGGAAAAAAACGAAGGGCGGTCAAGCTAAGACCTGGCACGAGGGTATGAAAACCCTAACCAGGAGACT